TGACGATACAGCTATGCTTGGACTTATAAATAATGACGATGATACCGACTATGTTCAGGAGATTAAAAGGTTTTTAAATTATTGCGACGACAATTATCTAGAATTGAACACATCTAAAACAAAGGAGATGATTATTGACTTCAGGAAAAAGACGAGTGATTTTAGTAAGATTTTCATAAAAAATAAAGAAATTGATCACGTAGATAAATATAAATACCTTGGAGTTGTATTCAATGATTCGCTTACATGGGATGATCATGTCGATTCTCTTATAAAGAAACTAAACTCTAGAATGTATTGTATGAGACAGATGTATAAATTCAATGTGTGTAACAAAATTTTAGAACTTTTTTATAATTCTGTGATTTGTGGTGTTTGGGTCTACTGCCTCGTTTGCTGGGGTGGCAACAGTGTTAACGGCTAACTTCCTTCAATTGCATATATAATATTATATATTGTTTACAGGTTTGTGTCTAGGTACGATATACACGGCAACTTTTGTGGTAACTGCAAAAACATTTACGACTCGCCTTTCTCAAGTGAATGCTGTTCTGCTTGTTACATGCGTTGTAGCATCTGGGTTAGCTCCATTGATTCAGGTGAGAATATTGCATAGGCCTACCTCGTCTAATTCTATATATTGAAATTCAGATTTTTATATATTGAACTTTTCTACAGCTATACTATTGATTGCATACACATTCAAGATATCTAGACAATGCCATATGCTTAGGTGGCAACTTACACATATTGCATTTCTCATATTTGTTTCTTATACTATTGTAACGAAAATGGTTCCGGATATAAGACTAGGGAAAAGCCAATTACTGTATTTGGGATGAGAGTTGTGGATTATGACTGGAATCTGGAGGTCCGATGAGGATAACGCCACGTGGAATAGACGGTCCTGGGTTAACTAAAGAATTGTAGGTATAATGTTGTTTGGATCTTAATAAAGTTTACATGACTAAAGTTGATGTCATATGATCGTCCATAGCCTGCTGTTTGTATGTGTTGTTTCGTGTTACATTTCCCTATAAATTTTAGGAACAAACTCGGTATAAAACCGTTACGCTATTAACTGAGAAAATTATCATAACCATATATCGTTAAATGACTTTTTCATATTGGTAAAATGATAGCAATTATATACTGTCTGTTTTTTTTTTAAAGAGTTTTAAATAGCAAAACTTAAATAGGAATAATGTCCTCACCAGCAACTAAACTGTTATATTAAGATGTTAACTTGGCTGATACTTAAAATATTGAATTATCGTAACAGATTGTCAGTAAGTCAACGATAGCTTTTTATTAGTTTATCATGATTATCAATGCATTAAAAATGTATTTGATCCATTTTATAAATGATATGTTTTGGGTGGGTTTTCATACCATTACCTCTAATAGTTTGTTCACTATTTCAATTGTTATTATATAAAAAGAAAATGTAATCTTTATTGTATTTTCCCAGAAATTGGTGGATAATTACGGTTGGAGAGGTGCAATTGCTATCGTAGCTGCAGCTCACTTGCATGTGACGGTTGCATCCTTCCTGCTGAATCACAGAGTTGGCAAAGTTGAGTTGGATCCCGAGGATATTGAAGATGATTATCAAACTGACCTAGAAAATCATTATAAAAACATTCATGGATTCTTTAAGAAAACATTGAAACGTCTTCATCTGGAAGTCTTCAGCAATAACCGTCAGTTGCTAGCATTGTGTCTGTCTGTAATAATCGGAGGCCTTACTATTACGTCATTTTGGTTGTTTTTTGTTCCATATGCTGTAGACTCAGGCATCTCTCCTATTGACGCCAGTGAGATTTTGTTGGCATCAGTTATTTCATGCGTTTTGATTAGACTTTTTCTATTTTTATTTGGTGATATTGACGTTACTCTGATAATAAAAATATTTGCAGTTGCACAGTTATTCGAATTAACATCGTTTTCTATATTTGCAATTGGACATAGTTTTTTGATATTTTATATCAGCTCAGCTTTTCACGGATTCGCGATTGGAATTCTATGGCACGGATATGTTACTTTGGCGACTAAGTTTGTTAGGAAAACAAATGAAATAGATGGCGCAATTTCCTGGATATTGTTGGCAGAAGGAGTAGGATCGATATCATCAGCAATTGTAGGTAAGAAGATGTACCGGTATTTATGATAAAAAATATCTACAAACTCAGCCTAGAATTTATGTAACTAAACCGAATAAATACTTAAAAATATCTTTAGTCATAAATGACACAACATTTGCAGTGTATATTATTGGTTTGGCGTTTGTTTAACTCCCAATAAAAAATGATTACTGTAAAAAGAAAAATACATTTTTTTGAATTTAAAAAAATTAATTTTTTTCTGCTAATCAATGATGATTCTAACCAATGCAATTTATTTCTATATTTGTTCAGGTTTCTCTGTCAACAGTTACCGTCTCGGTTTTCAAATATGCTGTGGCGTCCAATTAATTGCGGTCGTATTGGTAGTATACATGCTAATACTGCAGAAAAGAAAGCCGAACAACATCTGAAAAAAATGGGTTTGTAAAGAATATGAAGCCTCCTTCCGATCCTAAATAAGGAGAAAAGCGTTTTATCTTCTGAAGGTTTTTCTAGGTGGAACACAAGGACATCTATTTGCTGATAGGTCACTTTTGTGCTAAGTTCCATGCCTGTGGAATTGTCTAACTTAGCCGAAGACGCTATTCTCTGCAATTGATTTGGATTTGGTTAATTATTAATAATTATAATTTATTATTATTACCATAAGTGTATAAATAAAATACTTTCTGTTATATATATCATATATCAAGTTCAAATTACATTTCAAAATATCATCATTGTAGCTTTGCAGCTAATACGAATGGTATATTACAAAAAAATAGACCTGGGTCTATGTGCATTGCACAAAGTTTACGAAACAACAATACAAATACAAATTCAAATGTTCTTGGTAAAGTTATACAACAGTAAAAATACATTGATATAAAAATTAAACTATGAATTATAATGAACTGATTAATCTGAGCTTAATAAGTTAGTATTGACGTTTAAATATATAATGCAAGTCTAAGTACAAGTTGCTGGTTGAAGATAATAATGAAGTATGGAATTGGGCTTTACTATTGCTGTATCTATTAATATTTTAAAGTACGTAGTTTGAATTGATTTTTCTTTCTCAAACTATATCAGTGGTCTATTTGAGGAGGTATAAAGGAACTAAAATTTGGTGATTTGCATAATTGGTGAGTAAATTTGTTTTTCTACACTCCAGCATTTCTATGTTACACAATATTAGAACACTATTGTAGCTATTGTACGAGTTGTCAAATATGATTCTGAGTGCTCAATTCTTTGTATGTATATGAGGACCATTCAGATAAAAACGTTCCAGACCTATATTAGATTAGTAACAACTCAGACTTACACAGTCCGACAAATAAAAGTTTTGCCAAGTTTAATTGGCAATTTAAGTTTGTCCAATAGTTTAACTATTTTATATAGAAATTGCAACAAAATGACTTGGTGACATTAATATTTAAGCAGAATGTGTACGTCTAAATAAACAGCGATCGCCTTAGTCAGCGCTGAATATGGTCTTTCAAAACTCTTCATATTTACTCTGAATGGACATGTAATCAACTCAACCTTTTATGCTCGTGAATCTATGATTCATTCAAAATGTATACGTTGTTATAAAATGTATCTTCTATTCTAATTTCATTACATTTTAGACGTTATTATACGCCACTTTCGACTCCGCTTAATGCATTAACATAGCTCTTTTGCCTTTGTTTAGATATTTATGCTGTGAAATTGTGATGATGTCATCTTTGGTATTGCAGTTAGATTGCTCTAGTGAGATATTGCATAACTGTACATAGGACTTAATGAATGATATATATATATATATTCTGGACGGAATGCGTTTATATTTTATGTTTACTTTATACCAAGGAAAACACATTTCATGTATTTTTGTACATGATTGAATAAACTGAGCCTTGAAACTTAAACCCTTGTTTGTTTAAAATAAATGAAGTACTCACCTACTGGTGCCAAACATTACCGAAACAGTTTACGGATCAGCTAAACACGCGTAATATGGAAATTTATTGCTTTATGTCAAACAAATATTTTTGTGGTCGGGCCTCCTTTCGCTGTGTATGAACATTCGTGTAGTGTAAAACACTTTCTATCGCTCAAACAACAGTAAACTTACTGTTCAGTAGAATACACCTAAAACTAGAAAGTTAAAGTATAGAACTCACGAATGTTTTATGTGGACTCGCACACTTCTGCTATACAATATCCGCCTCAAACGTATTACACAACCGAACGAAAAAATTAGAAAGAAGCGGATTTCAACTGATTTGTGTAGGGATATATACCAGGATACACCAAAAAAAGTTAGGTGGGCTTTGGGATGGTGAACATTTTTTATGAGGGGTCAAATGTCATTAATCCCGGTCTAAAATACTAAAAAATGCATCTCCCGAACACTCTATAGTATATGGTATCAAAATGTCAAAAATTGTATTTTTAGTCACTTAACTGGCATATATCATTAAAAAATATTACAATGAATGTGATTTCAACTGACTTGTGTAGGAGTACATACTAGGATAACACCAAAACAAAGTTAGGGGTATAGGAGAATGGGGAAATTACGTTTTTGGGGTTAAAGGTCATTGACCCAATCTAAAACACTAAAAAATGTATCTTGGGAACACTCTATGATATATGGTTAATTTTGGTGTTGAAATACACAGAATAATGCAAAAAGTAAGAAAATAATATAAAAGGACCCTCATGACCAATGCATCTCCTCAAAAAATTAGGTCAAAGGTCAAAATTTTAGGAATTGATATTACAAAAATGGCATTCAGTATATGATATTTTTTTACTCATCATTTTCAATATACAATAGAATGTTCCAGAGGTACATTTTTTAGTATTTTAAACCGGGGTCAATGACCTTCGACCCCTCATACAAAATTTTCCCCACCCCCACCTAACTTTTTTTGGTGTAACCTGGTATGTACCCTACACAAATCAGTTGAAATCAGCTTCTTTCTAATTTGTTCACAGATTGGCCCAAATTTTGGGCTCCACTAAAAGTTAAATAATCCGAATGAAAAAAGAGTTAAATTTGCAAACATTTACTATGAATCAAATTAAAGGCATGTACGTCGCTATTGTATCTACACTAGTAAAATCCAATGTCTGTTTAGCCTGGTTCTCACGAGAGCCCTAGTATCCGGATCGGGAGCTAACCGTTAGCGCTAACCGTTAGCACCGGCGTTAAACCAGCGACGGTATATATCGAGAAACTTTTAAGCGAATTAAGGCTAACTCAGACAGCGTCGGCCGACGTAGCCCGACCCGATTTATCGCCGGGGACAGTCTTAAGCCGTCGTGAGAAATATTAAACATGTTTAATATTCTACGACGCGACTGCGTGAGAACGCCCGATCGGTTAGCGCAAACCGTTGGCGGTATCCGGATACGCTGACGGTTAGCAAGCGCTATCGGTTAGCAAGTTGAGGGCGTTTCTATCATCAACCAATCACACGTACGAGTTTACAATTTCCAGTTTCTTATTGGCCAGTGATTCGCTCATCATATTGTTGGTATCCGGATCGGGATTTTCTCGCATGGATGCACGGCTAACGGTTAGCAGGATCAGGATCCTACTAACCGTTAGCTGCCGTGTGAGAACATAGCCACTAAGTGTTGAGGTATGTTTAATGAATCATTCTATTAATATTGTATTTTACTACGTGAATCCTACATTGCTATATCGTTAATAATGTATTATAGTTGATTTATTCTTGATTCGAGCCCCAAAATTAAGTAGTCATTTCCCGTGTTTGTATCGGAAAAATGCTGTTATTTGTGATGGGATGCCACACATGGGCGGCGGAAGCGGTCCGGCAGGTCAGGCGGCCGCCTGGCCAACATTTTCTTGGCCAGTTAAAATACATTTTATAAAAAGTGCCATTTCCAGCCATCTAGACGTGCAGAAATTATATATTTTTTCTTACCTGAGCCCAAACCATGGTGGGCAGAGTGCTAGAGACTTTTTCCATGAAAGTCCTTTTTTTAATTAGGTTTGTCTATCAATAGTTACCGTGTCGGTTTTCAAATAGGATTTGGCGTTCAATTAATTGCTATAATCATATAAAAGTCATACATGATTATACTACAGAGAAGAAAGCCGAAGAACATATGTACAAATATTAAATTGTATTAAAGAATTATGAAGGCTCCTTCCGACCCTATAAAATGAATTAAATGCTTTATTTTATGTAAGCTGTTTCTATGATCGAACAGGAGGACATCCTGGTCCATTCGCTAATATATCTTTTTCCTGCAAAGTTTCCTGCAAAGCCTATGGAATCTGCCACCATGGACCTATAGGTCCATACTTCTACCATTAGAAACGCTGATTTACTGCTGAACAGCTGCACATCTTAAAAAAAACCCGTTAAAAAATGGAAACTTAACTGTCAAGACTAACATAAAGAATGTAGCGCATGTGTTTCAATTACTCAACGGTGTGGCGTTACACTGCGTCTTGAGTGGGACTTCAGGAGGTCCTGCAGGATAATACATTGATTTACTTTACTTAGATATATATCAAATAAAACTCAGGAACAAGGTATATATTTGCCAAATTTTAATACAGAAGATGCACAAACGTTTTCGGCCATAGGCCTTCATCAGGTGATGGTAATTTCACTGTTCCCTGATACCAAACCACAACATTCGGGAACGTTGTGAGAACGTTTAGTGTTTGCTGGGAGGGTGTAATAAAAATAAATATATAAAATTTTATTTTTATGAAATTTTCATTTTTTTTTTGTGACGGAGGGTGTGCTAAATGGCCAAAAATAAAAGTATACTGTTTTAATCAGCATTTTTGGCTGTAGGAGAGTTCGCTTATTAAGGTATAAAGAAGTATCGCCTAATGTGTCTTAATTATTGATTATTGTCTTAAATTAACATCGAACCATAAAAAAAAATCGTCAACAATTTTAGAAACATCCTAGAGTAGTACGTGGTGGTTGTGCCAGTGGAGACACAGGACGTACACCACCTATCAATAGACACTTGTAGAGGAGGCAGCCAAACCGGACATCGCCCCTACCCTGTCCCAGTGACTTTTATGATATTTTTTTGTTATTTTCTTTGAACAATACATTCTTTCTCATACGGCAATACGTACGTGGGCGGCAATCACAACACTCGACCACCATAGAGTCACTCTCAGACAGGCTTATCTTCATTTGACTTCTACGAGTGGATATCTTGGAAGTAAGAAATCAAGTTGGCTTTACTCAGTACCGTTCGTGTATGTATATTCATCGGTGGGAAATTTTCCTTACAGATTGAATTTAAATAAATGTGTACTTTGATTTAATGGATATACTGGATAATAATAATAATAATAATAATAATAATAATAATAATAATAATAATAATAATAGTTAGGCCTAAACACTTTTATTCAATTCAATTCAACGTAACATTTATTTATCCGATCCTTTTTTCATATATGTACAGCTTTTAAATAAAAAAGGTAAATATTAATTTCAGATACACACCAATTTCAAATTAAGCAAGTTTGAAAATTGAATTAATCATAATATATACATGGTCACTCCGTTCGCCCAGAATTATATTAATCATTTATTCATAAAGATTAGGCTAAGATCCTTGAAAAATAAAATATCGAAATAGAATTTACGATGTGTTATATCGAAGATTATTAGATTATCAAATAACTTCATTTAGCTTCTAGTGTAGTATTATTTCGAATTTCATGTATGTTAAGCTTTCAATCCGCATTCTCAGACCATCTTCAGCAGAAAGAATGACATTGGCAAGTAGCCAATGTCTACGTCACCGATGATGTAATGGTGACGGGTGCGCTCCGCAATGTGCGCTGAGCGTACCCGTCACCATAACATCATCGGTGACGTAGATATTGGCTACTTGCCAATGTCATTCAGCTGAAGATCCGAGAATGCGGATTGAAAGCTACTGGTGAGAAACAATCCTAATAAGCTTTAACACAAATGAAATTCGAAGTAAGATTATTAGATTGTTTATTCTTTGTACTGGAAATTGACAGGCTCCCGATTTTTTTTTCTCTAGCAAGGTGTTAATACCATCCAACCGTGTCATTTTCTTCGGTCAGTTATAATTGAAACATCCATAATCCGACCGGCGATATACTGTAAAACAAAAGCAAAATACAAGGCAGTGATTGGTTCATAGCCGTAAAGCGTAATCAGTAAGTTATGATGGCATGGGAACCAGAAAAAGAGTGACCTGAAAATGTTTAGTTATCAGTTCTCCTGTACATCAGTCTTAGGTTCACACGATTTCAATTGCGATAATCACTTCATTCTCTCTCAAATGAGTATAGTCTCCTGTAAAACCGGTGTTTCCAAAATATCACGTCGACCCAGGTTCCATATCCCAAAAATGATGATGCAATAGGCATTTTTAGATTTTCAGGTAGCAACTGGGA